AGATTTTTTGTGTGATTTGGATGGAAAAAAATCCATTTCGTTTTATCAATATTAAGTGATATTTTATTTGTCTTAAACCAATCAGAAACTTTTACTAGTTCATTATTGATATACTGAAATAACAATGTAATATCATTATGAGATAAAAATAAGTTCGTGTCATCTGCAAACATAATCGTCATTAAATTTGAGACTTTATGGAGATCGTTGATGTAAATAAGAAAAAGAAGAGGCCCTAATATTAATCCCTGAGGAACTCCACAAGTTATATCAAGCAAGTTTACTGGTGAAACTACATCAACGTATACAAATTGCTTTCGATTATTTTAATAGCTTTTTAATCAATTTAAAACATTTCCGTTTATTCCGTAAATCTTTAGTTTATTTAAAAGAATATTGTGGTCTATTGTATAGAAAGCTTTAGTTAAGTCGATAAAAACCCCAACTGTATATTGGGAGTTTTCAAAAGAGATAGTAATACTCACATTTTATTAATAATCATTGAAAATAATAATCATCCTACAATACTAACTTATAGTGTAACATCAAAACGCTCCTCCGAAAAATCAGCAGATTTATTTTTATCTATAGTATTTTAAATTTTAATTTAGAGATATATTTCTCGGATTATTTTCACGTTCACGGTATTTTATTGTTGTAATTGGTATTTATTTTAATCATGTCTTGTATATTTTGAACTTTATATTTATGATATTTATATTTGTTTATCTTTATTGCCAATCCGTGATTGGTTACTTGTAAATACTTTGTAGTTGTAAAACAAACTTGTATTTATAAAAAAAAAAAAAAAACTTACGTTATGTTACCTTGCGTTGATTTTTTACTTATATAATTTTGAATTAGAGTTACGTAATAAAACAATTGTTAAATGTATTGAACTCGTTCATTAAAAGTAATTAATAAAGCAAATAAAAAACAGGTGGCACTGGTGCTGAGTGATTATTCATAACATTTATAAAAGTTATCAAATCGAAAAAATGTTTTTTCCGCAAGACCAAGAGCAACTTTGAAAAATTATTTTAGCATTACAAATTTTTAATACTTATTTGAGTCGTTTAAATAAGAAAATCTTTGGTTTGTTGAAGTTTTTACTTGCACTTCTTACATTAATTCTATTTACATTAGGTTAAATTTGCAAAATATTCTTAATGCTGCAAAATATTCAGATTTAAATCTTTTGAAATATTTGACGAAATTTTTTGAAATTTTAACAAAAAACTGCAATCACAGTTTAGAAGGGTTTCAGGTATATGTGATCGTTTGTGATCGTGAGTTTGTGTTTGTGACCGGAGGAAAGGTTGCGCGAATCGCTATTTATCCATTAATTAGATATTAGTAGCTGTCTAAATAATATTTAGAATACCCGTTTGAAATTTCTTAATTAATTACCATTGATTTAAAAAATTTAAAAAAACGTAAGATGACTTAAATATGTGAAATAGCGAACTTACCATGGTCATTTTAAGTCTATTCCATTCCAACATTTTAGAAATTTCGCTTTATTTTAACAAGTTTTAAAAAAAAGCTTAATACTTTATAACTTCTACTAGGGAATTTTGGCAACTTTTAGAGCAAATGTAAAATTTTTTTTATTTTAAATTTCTTAATACATTTCATTTTCAAAATGGTTTCAACCACTTCTGTAACTTATTTAGTTCCAAAAATAAGTGTTTTATTATTTTCAATTCATGGACTTTTTATGAAACATTTTCTAAAAGTATGTGTTAAATCTTTGGCACCAAAAAAAAGATTTTCTATAGTTTTATTTTTCTTGCGTAAAAAGTCGCGTTAACAAACTTATAATAAAATTTTATTAGAAATTAAATCGTAAATCCAAATTATTTGAACAATATATATATATATATATATATATATATATATATATATATATATATATATATATATATATATATATATATATATATATATATATATATATATATATATATAGTATATATATATATATATATATATATATATATATATATATATATATATATATATATATATATATATATATATATATATATATATATATATATATATATATTTCGTGGTTAACACACTTACCATTAAATGGTCAATTAACAGTTGAATATGTTTTAACTATTCTTAATTAAATACATTAAGCCAAAAAAACTTCGAGGGGAAATATTAGTAAGTATTCGAGAAGAAACATTAGCAAGGAAGTAAAGTTGACTTTTATTTGAACTTTGTTTAAATTATCAAGCAAAAAATGTGGACCTTAAAAAAACCCTTTTGTTAGCCCTTCATTTATGGATTCTTTCCTTTCCTTGATAGGCAGTTCATGTAAAAGTAATAGTAACTTAGCCTAAGGTTAGCCTCTATTTCTGGATTCTTTCCTTTACTTGATAGGCAGTTCATGTGAAGGTAATAGTAGTTTTGCAAAAAATTTTTTTTTTGGTTTTTTAATTTTTAATTTTTATATTTTGATTTTTACTATTTATAATAATGTGTTAAGTTAAGCATATAGATAAAAATATTGATATATAATATAAAAATATCTTTACATTAAACAAAATAAGTACATATAAACATATCAGATATGATTCATACCATTATAAAGCTAAAAACCACTGACTCAAATGCAGTAAAAACAAACTATTGAAACATAATAATAAAAGAAATAAGAAAAATACATACTACAACATAATTCTAAATTTTTATTAAATAAAATTACCTCACTTTCTTAGCTACGAAGAATAAGATCACCTTTTTCAAAATCAATTAATAAAGGAAACGACCATACTTCATCAGGTTCGTTTTCATAATTAATTCGTTTAGCATATAATTGATCAATTTGTGTCACTTGCGCACGTCCCCAAGATTTAAGTGAATCTTCTTCTCTAACACGATTTTGTACAGAAAAACCTACAATCAGGTATATAAAAACATACATCAGATGGATTGTTAATAAATTTTGATAAAGAATGTTTTTTTTTTGTTGTTCTATTAATTTGGTTTTTTCGTGCATCCTGAAACTTTCAACAGCTGCGTCACGCATTATACGAGGCTTTAATTTATTATTGATATTACTTAAAGATTGTTTGTTTGGTGTTAAATTGTACTTGAATAACAATAAGGAGATTTTGATATAATTTATCTGAAGACAAGTTTATTCTTTTGCTTCCTTCTACCTTTGTTTTATAAAAATGTTTTTTGTCACATTCGACACCTAAGATTATGCCATAAAAATTTAGTTGTGAAATAAGCATTTTTGCCTTTAACAGCTCTTCTATATTGCAAACTGTTTTCTCTGCTTCCTCTAATGATGTCCATGCCCTTATATTTAAATTAATCAAATTATTACATGCTGCAACTTTTTTTTTGTAGTGCCCGGTGGGAAGCGAGCTAGCGATTAGCTAGCTTTATAGCGATTTTTGAGCGATTTTTTTTTTCTTATTTAATTTTTTCCTTAAGTCTTTAACATCATTGAAAATTTGATTTTTAGTGTTGGATCTATTATAATTATGAAAATAATTGAACTTTAAACATTGCGATATTGTAACAATATATCGCTAGCTATATATCGCAGTTTTTTAGTCAGCGATTTTATTACGATATGACACTAGCTACATATCGCATTTGTTTAGCTGGCAACTAGATAGCGATATATCTATAGCTATTCGATAACTACAAATCGCAGCTTCTTAGCTATCGATTTAATTACGATTAATCGCTAGTTACGTATCGTAGCTTTGTAGCTAGTTACAAGATAGCCACAAATCGATAGCTAGTTGATAGCTACATATCTCAGTTTTTAGATAGCGATTTTATTACAATTTATCACTAGTTACATATTGTAGCTTTGTAGCTAGTAAAAAGTTAGCCACAAATCGATAGCTACTTGCTAGCTATATAATGCAGTTTTATTGACAACGATTTTATTACGATTTATCGCTAGTTACATATTGTAACTTTGTAGCTAGCTACAAGGTAGCCACAAATCAATAGCTACATGCTAGCTATATAATGCAGTTTTATTGACAACGATTTTGTTTCGATTTATCGCTAGTTTCATATTCGTAAGCCTTTTTAGCTAGCTACAAGGTCGCCATAAATAATGCTAATAATAATTGAACTTTAAAAGTATGGATTTTATTACGATATGTCGACAGCTACATATCGCAGCTTTTTAGCTATCGATTTGAATGCGAAATATCGATAGCTGCATATAGTTGTGATTTAGCTAGCTAGAAGATAACGAAAAGTTTTTAGCTACATATTGCGGCTTTTAAGCTATCTATATTTTAGCACGAAATGTTGATAGTTTTTTAAGGTGGCACACAACTGAAAAAAAGCAAGTTTTTTGAAAAAAATCAATTTTTAGATTTTTGGGTATTTTGATTCTATAACCATTCCTTGAACATATAAAAAAAAAATTAGTCTCAAAAATGATATAAAAGTTGATTTAATATCATTTTAGTAGATGACACTTGAAAATAAATTCCCTAACAACGCCTTAGCAACCATCACTTATAGGAGTTTTTCTGAATTCAAAACAGTAAAACACCATCACAAACTTGGTTTTAATTTGTTATACGCAGACTCTTGTTAGTTTTCCGTTTTAAAAGTCATAATTCAAAATTTTATTTAAGAAAAAGAGTGTTTTTAATCTGTTAATGTTAGTCTTTTATACTGTAACTTTTCTCTCATTTTATACCAAATAATTTAAAAAGTGATTTCAATTTAGTTGGAATAAAGTTATTTTTAAATGAATAAACAAGGAAATAAAACTAAACAAAATTTATCAAGAAGGATAAAACGAAAATGGAATGGTGTTGTTGGAAATAAAAAATTTTTTTTTATCAGTTGACTTTGACGTCAATTGACGTCAAAGTCAACTGATAAAAAAAAATTTTGTTGTCATTAAAAAAAAAAAAAGTTTCTAACAAAAGTCAAATTAGTTGTCATTAAAAAAAAAAAAAATATTTCTAACAAAAGTCAACTGATAAAAGTAAAATGCAGAGAAAAAAAAAAAAAGAGCAGTTAAAAAAGGTTTCATAGACGATTAGCAAATAAAAGAAACAACTGGTAGTTACATATCTGGTGGATTTTGATAATTTTTATGTTCTTATATATTTTTTCTTATTTTTGCTTTTTTCTCAATATGTATTTTTTTAAACTTTGAAACACATTTTCTCATTAACAAAACAGAATTACAAAATAAAATTTTTAGGATTTGTTTATCATAATATAATACTTCATTTAACCCTCAGAATTTTTATAAAAATTTATAGAAAGTGAAATATTAATGATTATAGTGCTGTATTTATTGATATTTCATATATATATATTAGGTGATTTTGTTAGAAATGCAATATTTCATGAAATAATTTAAATCATAAAAATTCCCACGGTCAAGCAGGGTGAAATATGATTAGGAAGCTATGTTCAAAATTTTAGTTTCAGTTGTTAAGGCAAAATTAAGTTATTAGGTTTTGAAGGTTTACTAAAAACACATGTTTTACAACACATTTTTGGCCATTATGGATAATAAAATAAATTTAAAAAAAAGTTATCTGTTTTTTATTTTATTTTAATATAAATTAGTTGTCATTAAAAAAAAAAAAAAATCAAAATTTTGATTATTTACAAAAAAACTTGTTTTCAGTTGTGTGCCACCTTAAACAGTTGTAGTTTATGCGCACTGTTCCGAACGTGTGGAAATAAAATGTTGGTAAGATGGTAGATGAGCGTGGTAAGTTTTAACTATAAATAATAATATTTTATTTAGTTAAGTTTAACTATGAATAATAATGATGTATTTAGTAAATAAAAAACACTGATGGTGATTTCAATTTACCAAATACAATCCCGTCATATATATATATATATATATATATATATATATATATATATATATATATATATATATATATATATATATATATATATATATATATATATATATATATATATATATATATATATATATATATATATATATATATATATATATATATATATATATATAATTTTAATGCAAGACCGGAATTTTTTTTATTTTATTATTTGATAGACTGCCTGTCCAAACCAAACCCTCAGTCGATGTAGCAGCACTCCTTTGCGAGTCAGGCTATTTGCCAGTCAGGCTATAAGGTAGTCAATGTAGCAACACTCGCGCATGATTTACAGTAAAAAAAATAAAAACATTTTATTTAAAAAATAAAAATAAATGCATTGTTTATATTTTTAAAAACATTCTTAATGTTTTTATAAACATTCTGGTCTTTTTTAAATTTGCGTTTTTGCGGTTTTTTAAAAAAATAATTAATTTAATAGTTTTAACTTTATGTCAACACGGAAATGTTGGATGAATGTTAAGAGTAATTAAAAGTGACGTAATTTGTTGTCAAAAGAATCATTTTTTACCTTCCGTACTCTCAAAGCTAACAATTTATAGAACTATGTATATATATATATATATATATATATATATATATATATATATATATATATATATATATATAATATATATATATATATATATATATAGCTATATCTCTAAAAAAAAAATTAAAAAACTATATAAATTTTAATTTTTATAATACAGTTAGGCTATTTCTTTATTATAATAAAGTTTATTTTTCATTTAAAAAATCCAAATACTTTTGTTTTCTCGATTAAAAATGCATTAACGCGTGTCATGAAATTGCTGTCTACACCTTTTCTGGATCAATTTAAAAGGAATACGAATCAATTTAAAAGAAATACGAATCAATTTAAAAGAAATACGAATCAATTTAAAAGAAATACGAATCAATTTAAAAGAAATACGAATCAATTTAAAAGGAATACGAATCAATTTAAATTAGTATTTTTTTTAATTGATTCGTATTTCTTTTAAATTGATTCGTATTTCTTTTAAATTGATTCGTATTTCTTTTAAATTGATTTGTATTTCTTTTAAATTGATCTAGAAAAGGTGTAGAAGTTTTAACTAACATACTTTAGTATACCGCATTACGCAATACCAATTATGCAAATAATGATTTTTGGCAATATTTTACTAACGACTTAATTTGTCATATTGAAATTTACAATACATAACCAACAATTTTATCGATATTGCTTTTTTCGCACTATCACTCTACTATTCATATTGTTTTAAAAATATCAATATCAATATCAAAAATGGCATGTAAAAGATCTTCAGATGAACCTTCGGAATGCAACAGCTTTCTTCAAAGCTCTAAACGGATGGGCCAAGTTGCAACGGTAATTACATTTCATTTGTTTGATCTATATATAGGACTCTAATAATTTTACTTGCATTTTCCTCTTTTATTTTAGTTTTTATTATGTTACCGTAAACCGGGGTTTGAACGTTTTTTAGATATTTTTACTTGCTTTTTCCTCACTATTGACAATATTTAAAATTTAACAAAATGAATATAAGGGCTAAGGTTAACTCACACATAATTCAAATTCAAAATATTATTTAAATAATATTAGTTTAAACAGTTTAATATTAATTTAAACAGTCATTTAAAGTTCTTTTAAAATTATTTTCTTGTTATACGATATTTATGTTTTATAAAATGAGTTTTTTAAAATCATTTTATTATTTTTAAAAACCCTTTTTTGCGTTACCATTAAATAAAATGTTTAAAAAAAGTTGTCACAGACTTATTATGTCAAATGTTGGTTGTTTCCTAATTATTGAAATTCCATTTACTATAAAATTTTTTGGTATTATATTCTTAGTTTTAAATAATAACGGTCTTGTTTAAACGCATCAACGTTTTTGCTTTTGTATAAAACCAAAAACGTTGATGCGATTCTTAAAAACGTTAAATTGCTGAAAACCTCAAAAAAGATACAATAAAAAGCTTTAATTTTGTCGTTTAAAAGTTAAATATGTTGAAGTGCCTAATACAGTAGCGTTTAAGCTAGCTAGAAGATTACAAAAAGTCTATAGCTATTTGATTATGTTTTATAAAATGATTTCGCAGCTTTTTTTAGCCATCTATATTTTAGCACGGAATGTCGATAGTTTTTTATACAGTTGTAGTTTCGGCCCACCTTTGAATGTGAGCATTTTTAAACTACAATCAATGTATTATTGTAATAAAGCATTGCATAAAATGTGTTGAGTATTTAACTTAGGTAAAGTTGAGTTGATTATGAGCTGTATTTATTATAATTTCTTTTGTCCTTTTTTAGTAACAGATTTTTGTATATGTCAAGGATTAACTTTTTTTTGGGATATTTCCAGAATTCTGGAAATTTTTATAACTTTTTTTTTGCTGGATATCTAAAACATTTTCTATACTTAAAAGTTTAAAGACATCTATTTGCTTTATAAGCTTTTTCACTCATCACTCATAAAAAAATAAAGAAAAGTTTGAAAAAAAAAAAAAAGAAAAAACTCAGCTATAAGCAAAAATAAGAGGAAAATGAGAGAAAATATTTTCCGGGTATTTTACCCAAACAAATTTCCGGATTTTTAAAATATTGCATGGACGATCTATGATATGTATATTGTATAAAGCTATGATTGTATGTATATTGAAAAAGTTATTTTTTTTAGCACATTCTTACTGCAGAATCAGAAGTAGAAATTGATTTAAATACATAAAAAAAAAAACACAAGAAAACTCCTTTTAGTCAGCAAAACAAAAAGAGAAAAAAAAATGTATTTTTGAAGAACCTCCTTTACCATCATTACCATTGTGGGAGCCACCAAAGCTTCCTGATTCCGATTCAGTATACATTTTAAAATTTTATCCCATTCGTAAAAATAATAATTTTTTTTGTTTCATTTTTATGGTTTATTTGCTTTTTTTAGTTATCATTTTTAAATAAAAAAAAAAAAAAGTAAAATATTATCAGAATATTGTGAATGTATTTATAATCATTGTTAATCTTGTTCAGAACTTTTGTTCAGAACTTTTGTTCAGAACTTTTTGTCCGTCTCTGCCTCAATGGATCAAGTAGATGACTTGCCAGTTACACAGATAGTGTTTCCATCAGAAATGCAGTCTGTTTCACAAGTTCAACCGTTACTGCATTCATCTTCTTCCTTTTCTTTACCATCTCAAAAAACTGGGATAGACCAAATAAATAACTTTATTCGGAAAGCAAATGTTGAACCGAATACTGTTGAAGGCATTCAATTTATAGTGAACTCCATGTACAGAAAACTTTGTGGGTTGGAAACAGAAATGCGTTCCATGCGTTCAATTTTAGACACTAATCATGGTAATAAAGAAAATATTAATATAGATTATTTACCAGCTAATTCAGTTGAAGAGTTTGACTCACTAGAAAGTAAAATAATTAACTCTAATGATAAAGATATTGTTTGCAGAAAGTTAGAGCAAATTGGTGGGAGAAATCTAAGTGACTTTTTAAAAAATGCTTTAAAAACTTGTTTAACAGACAAGCTGTGCTGCAGCATTAATCGAACTGATGCAGATAAAAAGCGTAAGTTTATAGGACCAGTCGAAAGTTTGATTTTTGATGCAGCTTACTGTTTATTTCCAACTGCCATTGAATCCAGTATGACTAGAATAATTGCGAAAAACTTGAAAAAGTCTAAAGATCGTTATTTTGCTGCAAGAAAGAGAAGTTCTTCTTTAACAAGTGATATACAAATACACAGTCCTGTTAGAAAAAAAAGAAATTTAAACACTGACTCATGTAGTGGTTCCAGTTAACTTATTTTTTTTGTTTATTTGTTCTATTATTTTTTATTGACTTTTTTTTTTTTTAGATATTTTATTTGTTACAACTTTTTTAGCAATTATTTTCGAAAATTGATAAAGATTTAAAAAAAAACTAAAATTTGACAGAAATTTTATTCTATTATCTTTTTAAACATCTTTTGAAATTATTAATTTAATTTAGGCAAAATCATTTAGTTGTTAATGGCTTTTTATTTTTCAAAAGTAATCTATAACTTTTCTTTTAACATTTTATAATGGCTTTATCATTTATAACTTTTTATGGAAACAAGTATTAACATTTTGTATTTAATTTTTTATAAATACAATCTTATTTTAATGGTTATAATTCACTCCCCTGAAAAATATAGCACGCGATTCTTTGAGCATATCTTCTAACCTAGCCGAGATTTTCTAGCCAAACCGATGTCATTGTCGTAACGACTTAATGCTAGCTATTCGCTAGCTTATTTAGCTAGCGATCCTCGTGGCCATATCGCTGTCTTTATCGTAACGAATATCGCTAGCTATTCGCTAGCTTGTTTAGCTAGCGGATCTAGCTTATAAAGCTAGCGATCCTCGTGGCCAAATTGCTGTCTTTATCGTAACGACTTAGTGCTAGCTATTCGCTAGCTTATTTAGCTGGCGATCCTCGTCGCCATATCGCTGTCTTTATCGTAACAAATATCGCTAGCTATTCGCTAGCTTGTTTAGCTAGCGGATCGCTAGCTTATAAAGCTAACGATCCTCGTGGCCAAATCGCTGTCTTAATCGTAACGAATATTGCTAGCAATTCGCTAGCTTGTTTAGCTAGCGGATCGCTAGCTTATAAAGCTAACGATCCTCGTGGCCAAATCGCTGTCTTAATCGTAACGAATATCTCTAGCTATTCGCTAGCCGATTTCCCACCGGGTGTAATTTATTCTATATTTTTTTGTTCTTGCTTTGATAGAAGGTGCATAGTTTTATCTTTTTTTAAGAGTTTCTTTTCTTTCATCGTATTTGTTTTTCATTATAGTTGCTTTAGGTCTTGAATATTCAAGTAATTATTTTTTCTAATATTTGGTTCTGAGAGCACATTGTCGAAGCCTGAATAGTTTGAACAAAATTGCATTGGGTTTTGTGCGAACCATTCAATACAAAATGGCAAAGTCACTTTCTGATGGTTTGTTAGTGACAGTGATATTAGAAGCAGCTTCAGAAACTGAGTTTGATGGATTCCAATATTTACCACCTTGTAACTGATCAGCACATTGATGGTATGAAAATGACAAGAATTGCAATATTGGAACTTAATTGGAATTGGAAAATAATTTCAAGTGATTGCACAGTCAAAGAGTCAAACTCATCATTTTGAGTGCATTCAAACAGTTAGGCGTAAACTGCATTTTGTTGAAGAAAATTAGTATCCTCAAAAATTTTTCCATTAGCAAACAATAAAGAAGATGCATCCATACAAAGAGATGAAAGTCTAATTTTTAAGCGTAGCAGGTAGGGGTTTAACAACAAAGTACTATCAAGTGATTCAATAATTCGCCAAATTGGACCAGTAAGTAGTTTGTCAATAATACCTAGTGCATTAACTTCAGCAATGAATAAAAGATTTGTGATATCTTCCTTAATTACTTTTAATAAGTTATAATGGTTAGGCCAGCAGTTTTTAAAATTCTGTTATAGCATCCTTATGATAGTAAAAGGCATCGGCATTGTATTAAAACGATTTCCAATAAATGGAACAAAAAAAGATTTATCATGACATGAGGAAAGAAAAGAATTAAACCATGATGCAACACCAGCTTATGACTTCTTTGACACTATTCATACTCACGTTCATTGAAAGAAGTTTCATAATAGTTTCTCAAATGTCATCACTGTATCTGCCATATTCAAATGTTATTACATCCTCGTCATCCAACACAGAAACCAATTTTTGAAGTTCTTGATTTTACTCTTTTAAAATGTTTGTGTTAATGAAACAACCTCTTCTTAATGAAACAACCTCTTCTTAATGAAACAACCTCTTCTTAATGAAACAACCTCTTCTTAATGAAACAACCTCTTCTTAATGAAACAACCTCTTCTTAATGAAACAACCTCTTCTTAATGAAACAACCACTTCCTCTAAACTTATAACATCTTTCATATTGTAGTCATTAATATAGTTGGTTTTATTTTGCAAAATAATTTTTAAATTACTCACTTTTTTTTGCAGTTTTATTTTCTCATTTCTGTTATTTTATTTTTTAATTGCGATATTTTATATTTTGTTTTATTTTTTAAGGAATTTTTTTCATTCTTTTTTATTTCTAGCTGAGTATCTTGATCTTTTTTTTTTGTTTTTATAATTTCTAATATTAAATGATTTTTTATTTTTTCGTTGTTTTTTTAATTTTCTGGTGGTGTTAATTAATCTATTTATTTTATTGGCTAAAGCTTTCTTGCAGTAAAACAGCTTTTAAAATCCACGCAATATCTACAATATCTTGCATCATAAGATGTATCTTTTAATGTCAAAAACCAATTATAAATACTTGCATTGATCATTTTATCTAAATAAATATAGATTTTCCAGTCGTCATTTTAAATATATATGTAAGTTTTTATAAATCTAAAGTAGTCAATTAATCATCAAAAAAAAATTGACCAATTTAAAATAATTTTACAGCAATTTATTGTAGTACATCCTTTTCTAAAAAAAAAAAAAACATCTGTATATACGTATATACTATAAATTTTCATGGGTAGATTTTTATTTTTCGATACCAACGTAAAATCATTTCTTGCAATTTTTGGACGAAATTTTTCATAAACGAACGACGTATTTTTTTCCGCGATAAAATGTCACGTGACAAAATCCCTACTTCTACAAAAATTAAGAATAAAAAAAAAAAAAAAGCGGGAAAGAGTTTGATTATTTTTTTCTTTAATTAGTTTCTATTAACTTTTTTTTAGACCATCCACAACTTATTTGGTCCGTTGCCCCGTTAATTTTGAAAAGGGTTAAAATTGGCAAACAAAATCTTTTTTTCAAAAAGAAAGAAAGTTGTCTCTTTAATGCATGTTAAACGCGCAAAAACTTAAGCACATACACAACGTAAGTTGTTTATCATAAACAACAATAAACTAATCATAAGTACATAGTGTAACTTTACATAATTTCGCCCACCATTGAATCTCGCCCACCATCTTTAATTGCTTATATGTCAGTTAACTCACACGCTGCACCATCAAAAAGACGTTCTTTTAAGCAGCAAACCAGTCTTATCAACATTAGAATAACTTTGACCTCAAAAGAATCGCAAATAAAAAAGTATCTTATAGAGAAAATTTGTAGATTTTTGGTAATTTTTTTGCTACTTAATTTCCCGAATTCAAAACAAGTGATGCAAATCTACCGAATTAATTATTTATTATGCATGTTAAATTATAACTTAATTTTGTTCTCCATTGTTTAATCTCTGATTGTAAATAAAATCTTTTGAAATAGTAGAATATGCATAAAGTTGTTTTCTGCTCAACCTGCCAAATTAACTCAATCTCGCCCACTGAACAAATATATTGTCGCTCAATGCATTTAATCTCGCCCGGGTGGGCAAAAATAGATGGAGCATAATATATTAAGACTTACGTTACTAGCAGTTTTAACAAATTAAACCTTTCACCGTGACCCCCATTAACTTTTCATCAAATTGGGATGACATATTTAAAAAATAATTGTGAAACAAAATCATAAAATTTTGTAAGGATACAAATTAAGACCATAACCTTTTTTAATGCTTACAAAGGAGTATTTTTTATGTAATTTTATTTTATATATTATTGAAAAATTATTTTATAAATTAATTACCCTTAATTCAAGATCCTTGGCATTATCGTAAAAATAAACCCCAAACTTACTTGATAATTGCTTTGACAAAAATTGATGATATATCCACGTTAATTTATTTTTGATTGCTTTCAAAACAATACTCTTCATCTGTGTATTTTTATTAAAAAAATTATTCAAAAAATAAATTGCTATGGCTCTGCGTTAAGTAGTTATATAAAAAGCTCGTGTTCATCAAAATCAAACAAGTTAGCTAGATAAAGAACAATAAAAGTATCGCAAATAAGTAAACTTTGTCTGCATTTTCTTTTCCTGATTATTATTGGTAAAAAAGAGTTTGGAATTTTGTCTTTTTATGCTATGTTTTTTTTTTTAGAAATAACTTTTTTAGTGTTTAGAAATAATGCATATTTTATATACTATTATTTTATTTATTTTCAATTTAAGAACTAATGTTTTAGTTATTAAAATAATTAAAACATTAGGTCCAAAACGTTAGGTTTAAAAGGTCCAAAACTCATTTTATGCAGAATAAGAATGTTTTTATTTTTCTTCAATAGAATTTTATAATTGCTTAGCTAAATGCTTATTTACTTCATTGTAAATTAAGTACTACGAAGTTCTAGGGTTGGGATTAGGTTACAAATACTAACATATGACTTTCACCGCGTGTTAATATTTGTAGCTCTTGTAAGTTTGGAGAACTTTATTAAATTATTATGACATTCATTCTGCAATTTAATTAATCTAGGTATTTTCTTGAAAAAAACATGGTTAAAACAAAAGGAGGAGGATGTAGATTATCAACAAGATTTCACTGGATGTCGGTTAGAAATATTGCTACTTTAACAGAGGTTACAATATGTTATAATGCAACTCATTTTCATGATAGTATAAATCCTTTAACATCTGGTGGTTATACTCTAGACATTTGTCTAATGAAACAGCTACCAACAATAGATGTTTCTTTAACTCGTGTCAAGGTTTTGATCAATCAGTCATTGCTAAGAAACGGGACAAATTCCTGACATGGAAAGAAAAAAATTGATGAGTGCAATTAAGCATGTCAGATCAGAGCAATTCATTTTCAGTGCGTAAGGCAGCATTATTGTTCAATGTGTCACGTACAACACTGTGAATCAGACAGACAGAAAAGTTGTTATTAGAACAAAGCCAGGAAGAAAACCTACTCTACCTTTTGCTCCGGAAGAAAAACTTATCAATTATGCCAGCAACAGAGAA